TTTGGTTACACGGCTAACAAGCTTCAATCGCGTACAAAGATAAGCATCAAAATTAGCGTTCATGAAAACCATGTCACAAGTTTCCAGATTTTTTCGAAATTATTGAAAACGGCAGTATTTTTCACAACGAAACCACATGCCAGAAGTTCCTACCGTAATCCTACAGTGATGAAGGAGCGATCGGTCTTTCGCTCCATATTGTAAAAAATTGAAACCAGTTCTGCAAAATGGCCCAAAGCTTCACGAAAGCTTTATGACAAGAAAGTCATTAACAATTAAAAAGTAAGTACATTTTTGGGACACTCTGTACAAGGTCAAACATCATAAATTAAAAGTTTGCCATCCTCACTGTAGGCCTTGTCTAGTTTCTTGCGATATCCTCCAATCACACCAGTTTCACTTGATCCTAAATTCCATGTGCGGTTACATAAAATTCAATGGCATACCCATCTGTGCTTTGCATGCGGATAGTTTTCTTCGTCATTCATCTTTAGCTTTCAAATAAGGTTGGCATATCCTTCAATCATGATTCAGTTTGTCCTACTTTGCTAATGCATGCATACGCTGCAGATCTTTTGTGGCTACTCGGTGGGCTCATGGCACCTAGATGTTACCCGAGGCCTGATGCTCGCCCGATAATAAACGACGTACCCAGCCTACTGCGCACTAACGCGCGACCGAACAGAACATAATGTTAATTAAGTGGTTTATCCTTAAGGCACTAAACTACAGTTGAAATAAAAAAAAGAATACTACACTAAAACAAAAACAAATACTACTACTACTAAAACACGGGACGAGGGCTCGTCCCATGCTACCGATGCGCGTCTACAAGCATTCTCAAAAATACATGAGGCTCTCGAGGTTTCGCGCAACAAATCCACCGCGCAACGCCAAGGTGTAGACGACGGCACGTCCCCTCCAGCTCCTGTAGATGATTTCCAGTTAGTACTAGGCGCGTCGACTTGCGCTGACAAAAAGGAATCCAAAAGACATCCGGCTCAACTGCTCTTTCGAAAAAGGACAGGAGCAAAGCGGCTGAAACGTAATTCGAACAAGATATCGAAAATCAATCGATAGGATGAAGGCGAACAAGGCACCCAAGTGAGGCGCCGCCGCTTTATATAGCCGCCTGGCTGGCAACGAGCCAATTAAGGAGAGGCCCGGAGACGATCGCTACAACACGCGTCTCGGCTACCGTAATCGTCGCCGGATAGCGCGGTAACCGATGCCCCCGGCCTCCGTACTTCGAGGAGCGCCTTGCATCGCGAGACGCGACATCTTTGATATCAGATCATCTCATGTACTCCATCTATTTATTACTGATGGAAGATGCTCTATTTTTTGATTCTGTCCGTCTATGCTTGCTTTTCCTCAAGAACCGACCATTCTTTGCTAAGTCTGAATCTAAGAGGAGAGGAAGAGTTTGGCAGCCGAGTTGTTGCTATATATAGACAGCATATGGTATGAAACAGTTTACGTGAAAATTGTAGAAAAATTGTATGAACTACACATTTTGCATTCTCAGGGAAGCGTAAACAAATTACTTTGAACAAAAGGAAAAAATCAAACAAACCTTTCATTCTCATGTGTTTTATGAATTTTTTCAAACTTTGTTCTTATTTCCACTACGCTTAGCGCTATGGTGCCATATTTTTACGTGTACGTTGCAAATAAATCATTTTCCTATTTATTGTAATAGAAATTTCCTAACAGAAAGTTTCCACACCCTCAATGATATAATTTCCAACCTTTTCAAGTTGATGTCCTCCAACACTCACCTTACATAACAAATTCGGTGTTAAACATTATCTGTGAGTTGTAAACAAGCTGTTTATTACTTTGTGCGAAGAAACTCGGTTTTTGAAAAGCGCACTTTAGCGCACGATTGTCTTCAAATATTTTAGTCGCGTAAAAGCCTATTCGCATGGGGCTAAAGATGACTGAGAGGTAGGGTGTGCATGTGAACGTATGGGCAAATAAAAATTGCACGTCTAACGACCTAATGCAAAAGATGTGTAGGTACTTGTAATGGCTTCGACGAGAACATGTGGCACACAGTTTTTTGCCCGATTTTGATGCAATTTCTCCGTGAATGGAAACATGGCTAAGGCGCTTTCAGAGTTATTGCCCAAAACCCCTGTTGTAAGCTGATGAATTTAGAAGATTGTGGAGTTCATCAGCACTCATCAGACTGAAAGATAATTTGCTCCTCGTTTTCCACGTATTATCTGTGACTGTGTACACCGCCAAACATTTCAATTTTATTTAAGAGAAGTGTATCATAGTGGCTAACAGAATTAGTGTGCAAGAACATACTTGTGGAGGTAATATGAAGCTTCGTCTTGTATATCTAGATCCTGTAAAAAAAGTCTCCGTTAGTGTCCTCTCCCATGAAGAAACAATATATTGAGGACTGCAAAGATGGTGAATAAGTGGAGGTGAAATGGAGCACGACTCCTAGCCCATTCGCAGGAAAGCTTATACGTACTTCATTTGTTTAGCTTAAGCAATGCACTGCATAGCAAATTTTTTACCCCCGACAGCATGTACGTTTGTGCAGTTATATGAGCAAGATTTTCGAATTAAAAAAAAAGACAAATTAATCACCATACCTTTTTCTTCGATTTCTTCGGCGAAAAACTTTTGAGAAACCGCTTCTTCAAGCTATTCTTTTTCTTCAGCACCTTAAATACGGCTTTGATTTTGCTTGATTTTTATTGCTTGTACTACTTACAAATGTGATAGACTATTTATTCATTTATACTTTAACACCAATGCTTCAGCTTTGCTTCGCCTCGCACTAATTATACTATCCACATTCCTTCTTCATGCTCGCAAAATGATGGTTTTGAAAATCACTGCGTGAACCCATCACGAAAAAACAAATACCCTAATTTCACAGACACAAGGCGCTCCTATTTCGATTTTTTTCCTTCGAGCCGCTCAGTTACCTCGCTGTGCTTCGGAAAGCGAAGCTTATGCCCACGATACTCTCAGGCATTACGCACTACTGTAGGTTCCCGTGCTCGCAAAATTCCTTGGTGTGTTCAGGCTGGTCAATTCCAGAAAAAATAGGTCCTGTCCTCCTGAAACTAGAGCACTCATTTCAGAAGCCTTCTCAGGTAAGATTGATAAATTTAGGGGAGAGCAACTTTCTTTCGATGAATTAAGGGCGATTTTGCATCACTCACTGGAATTATTATAGCTTAATATTAGGTCGGTGCAAAAGTTTTGTCAGTTTTTTCAATCCATCGGCAATCACGCTAGAATGAAGATAAACAAGGACTTCAAAATGTATCCGATGCAGAATTTCTTCCTCTTTCCCGCTGCTAAATTCCCATGTGTTTCGTTGCGAGAGTGACGAGATATTTGCTACAAATTACAACCACTCGTTTTTACCATGTCCAACTTTCGCTAATTTTTAAAATTTTTGTATGGGAAGGGCTAACCTTTTGCCAACTTATGCAATTTTTTGTAGCCCTACAGCTTGTCTTTCAGAATTTCTACGATTTATTTTTTGAAGTGACCAAGTTATACATTCAGCCTATTTTGATCTCGTAGAACATAAAATGTTAAACACTTTAGTCACCATTCAATGCAGATTTTTCTCCTCTTTCTAATACTTGTCTTTTTTTGCCGAGACAGGCGAAATTTGTGGGGAAAATTGCAGTATTTCTCAGTTTCAGGAGTCGCACAGGCGTAACCTATGTTTCAAAATCTTCATAAGTTGAAGCGAAAATCGCTCAATTACTTTGTAATGGTAGTGGTAGTAATAACCATGTGCTGAAACCTCAGTTTTCTGTAGGTTTTGCAGTGTTTGGTGCTCTAGCAGGTTGTGCAAATTTTCCAAAACACAAGACTTTTAGGAAAGCACTTAGCAAAAATCTAGAAAAGCAGCTGATAAAAAGAAAAAATTGCATATATTGGCAAAAGGTTAACCCTATCTGCTGGCTATCAGGGCTTCTTCGAAAGTCTCATACAAAAATTTTGAAAATTAGCGAAATTTGGACATGGTAAAAACGAGTGGTTGTAATTTGCAGCAAATATCTCGTCACTCTCGCAACGAAACACAATGGGAATTCGGCAGCTGGAAAGAGGAAGAAGTTCTACATCGGATACATTTTGAAGTCTTTGTTTATCTTCATTCTAGCGTGATTGCCGATGGACTGAAAAAACTGACAAAACTTTTGCACCGACCTAATAGTTGCTATACAAGTGGAAGAGGAAAATACAAGTGTAAGTTACATCTCTGGGCAAAAATCTTCTTACATTTGCGGTAAAAATTTTATCAAATCGACCATCTACGGAGTCATTCTTTTCTAGCGCAGATTTTGCATGAAAAGGACTTTTTGCTTACTTTAAGGCGAAAGTGCATGGCGTTCTTTGGCATAAATTACCTACATGCTTATAGGGTGATAAGACCAAAACTCCAGCTCAAGATCTTTGCTGTAAGTAGCTCAATGAATTTTCTGGCAAGCAGGTTCTTAGAAAGGCACACAAACGATGAACAACCTTAGCGCAATATGATAATGGGACGACTATAACTCAATATATTGTGCTTGAAATGCCAGGATTAAAATTTGCGCGTAAAAAAATAACCACGCCAGAAATGCCGGCATCTTGAGCGCGAGTGGACCGCAAGTAGCGCTAACAAGCTATATTAAGCGGAACATGTACTAAATTTCAAACTGGATGCAACCTTGACAATAGGCAGGATTTCAAAAATTTGAAACTACAAATGGACACAATATCTTCATAGTTTGTGGGAAAAATGGCGAACAAACTTCAGCGACTGCCAAAACTCACGCTTAACAATATAAGCAGTATTACACTTTTATTCATCTAATATATTTTTGCGCATATATACTTAAATTTTCGTATGCAGAACAGATATGAGCTGACATGAAAACTTGCACCAGGCCATTGCTTTAGTACTTCTTTCTGCTGTTTTGATATATCTCTCGAATAAGTTGACATCTATTATTAAACACAGACCCTTAGCCTTTTTCGGAGCTCACCTTACCATTACCATTTGCTATATTGATTTCATTTTCGAAGTACTCATTTACATATCGCATCCAATCATATTCCTAAATACAATATAAGCTAGTTAGGTTTGTGATTGCTATCAGTACCTCTACTTACTGTCAATTCCTCCAAGGCTTTCCCGTCCAAATCCTCGGTCTGAAAAAATTAGCTTAGGAAGTCACTCACACCTGCAATAATGAGATCCTTTGTTGGCAGCTGTGTTGACTTGGAGGTATATGTAGACAGCCGAAAACAAAAGACGACCAAAAGCATACTATTAGGTCGTGTAATAAGTTCTGTCTCATTTTTTGTTTTATTTTTTTCTAGACGACATTGACTATATTTCAGATAAAGCGTTTATGCATTTGAAAGCTCTAATTCTGCTCTGCAGGCTCATATGCATCATTCCTTAACATAACAGAAAATTAAAAAAGGTTTTTATCTTTGAAACAAAAATCCAAAAAGCCAAAAAAAAATCAATTTTCGACATCTTTTTTCCTTCAAATTTTTCTCGATTTTTATTGGTGAAACTTACTAAACAAGCTTGACAACAACCAAAACAATCTATTAGACTTTTACATTTATTCTATCACTGTTTGCGCATATTCCCTTCCTCCCACCGGCTACTTTATGACATTTTTTAAAAGTCGGCAAGCCAAGACTTTGTTACGGCGACGTTCGCCGCCTCGCGTACCCAAGCTGTGTGGCTCCCAAAATTCGAATTTTAAGTATTTAATCTACGAATTCGATAACTTTGAAGCCACAAACCATCCCTTCTGTCATTTCTGAATGTTTCGCCTACTGTCTTCCCTCAGAATGCCTTCAGATGTTGCCCAACACCAACGTTGAAAAAGCGTTAGAAAAAAGACTTTTCTAAAGTTTACAGAAATGAGTTTTGAAATTTCTAAAGTTTACAGAAATGAGTTTTGAAACGTTTCAGCACTCCTGAAGCGCAGTAGAAGCTAGAGCATTCTTTGCTTGCGTGTAGCAAATTGTTCGAGCTTATTCATAGGCATTCTGACGTAGATGTCGAAAATGGACTTTTCCTTGTTTGATTTTCCAAATTTTACGCTGTAAAACTTTTTCAAATCGTTTGATGTAGAAAACCAAAATGAAAGTTTCAGTAGAGAAAGCTTAAAGCTTTCAAATGCATATAAACAATTTACAGAACATCACGAGAAAAAATCGAAAGAAAAAATGGGACAGAACTTATTACACAACCTAATAATAAGTAGGACCCATTAAGGTACATATGCTTATCTTGTTTGACATTTGAAGACTAGCGCTGCTGTTCATTTGATGGTGTGGTCAAATTATACCGCCAAAAAATTTTCAATGTTAGATTATCCAGATGCATCTGATTATGAATGTTTGCAAAAAATACAGCTCAAAAAAAATTATGTTATGAATCAGCTCTTACGGAAGGATACTTGGTCGAAGTAGCCTTTCCGTATGAGATGTACACTGTTTCAAAGAGCATGAAACGCTAATTTCAAATTTGCTTTCCGTATCTGCAAAGCGATTCCGGGAGTGTAGTTATGGGAATTTTTTGATGCAAAAATTTGAAAGCTTTGCTACAACAAATTTATTCAAGTTCCAACAGGGCCATGATTACTATTAGCGCGTTTTATGGAGTAAAGACCTCCAAGCCAATGAGCTCATTTCAGTCATTAATCATTTCAAGCGCCGGAAAGACCTCAACATCTATTTTTATCTTAGCCTTATCATTGAATTTTTACCACAAAAAATTCCCAGAACTCCCCTCCCAAAGGCGCTTTGCAGATACCGAAAGCAGATTTAGAATCAGCGTTTTATGCTCTATGAAATAGTGTACATCTCATATGGAAAGGCCACTTCGACCAAGTATCCTCGCCTTGTTAGTGCCAAAGCTCCAAAGTGTTGAAATTTGTGCTAACAAGAGAAGGATACCAACTTAGTGTTAATTAATTTTGTGTTTCCCTACAAATAAGTTAAAAGTTCAAAACAAGATGCATACCATTAGACGCATCCTTGAAAGCTGTCCAAATCTGCTTTCCCTTTGCGGATCAATCATTCGAAAAAAGTTACCAGCGTTTGAATATCCAAATTTATTAAGCTTTAAGTGGCTCAAAATGAATAAAAAGCTCTACAACGACACCTTGCGGACTTCCACAAACTATGTTCCTTTCTTGTAGTTAGTTAATATACTTGATACAAAATTGATTACACACTTCAAGGCACTTTCTAAGCTTTCGCTAATTCAAGCCGCTGAAAGCCTGACAAATTTTGGACTTCCATACGCCCATAACTTCTTTCGGAAAGTTGCTCCGCAGAAAAAGCAGAATCGGAAACAGCGTTCAAAAGCGCCTCTAGTGATATAGTACACTTCGTCTTCAACCTCCAATTTGTTGGTATCCTTTTCTTGTAAGAAGAGACCGGCGATTCATTGTAAGCATGAGATTCACAGCAGGGCACAGGGGCAGGTGCACTTAACTTACTTTGGACCAAATGTCGTTTGTTGACCCTGCTTTTTCCTGTACTACTTCTTTACCCGCAGATGGTTTCGACTTGACTGAATAAAAAAGATTTTGTAGTGTAATAAGTTTAGATCATATAAACTTGCATCCATCGATGATAACCCTCGCCCTAAGTAGCAAAACCTGAAAGTTTTACTTTTTTTTGGGTTGAAAGAAATTGAAAAAAGCCGTTTTTACCGTTTCAAAGAGTATCAAAAGTTTCAGCATTCTGATGGATGGAGCACATGACACTGTTTCTTGTGCACAATCACACAATAAACAAAGATAAGGTCAAACAGGTGTTAGGTTAGCTTCACCAGCCCTAGTACATGTAAAGTGTTCCCTAATAGACAATCAGCTAAACAAATTGTAGACTTCTGATGAAAAAATTGTCTGCCTCATTTTAATCTTCCACCTCTTTCTCAAAAGTGCCAGAAAGTCTGACGCAAATGCTTTCATAAATTTTTCTCCTGCGTACGGCAATGTCAATTTTTCGTTTTGAAAAATGAATGTGATTAACCTTCCACTCACACGATTGCTGCGCCAAGGGTTTACATGAACTTTATAGCAGATTTGATGCGCAAATAGCGCATGATCATGATACACAGAGCGTAAATTAGGTACACACTCTCTGATTCAATAATCTTTCCCACATAGTCTTCCACCGACCGACATAGCCATGGCTTAGCTTAGAGTTCAAAAAAGTTCACAGGAATCATGGAAGACTGTGTAAGGGCAGACTGTCACAAGGTAGAACTGAAAATAGCTTGAAGAAAAAATCGTTGGCACTTTTTTATATAGAGTGTAGTGTGATGAGATTTATTTTATGAGGAAAATCCCACATTACTGTGAATCCACGGCAAATGGTAACTCTTTGACAAATGCTGTTAACCAAATAATCTTCAACTTAAAGAATTCAATCATCAACTCTTGAACTAGCATCCAATTTCTGATCGTAACCTTGCCTCAGACTAACACAATATTTTGTGTTTCAGTAGTAACGTAACAAAAATTAGCTCAAACGTCTAATACTCTATGTATACATAAACATATAGACATCAGTGGCTCCCCGAAAAACCCACGGGGAGATAATTCTTGGGGCGCAGCATAGCCGCCTCCTAGAAAAAAATGTTGGCTATGTTTTCCATTATTTTTGCCGAGAACTCCAATATTTCAAAAAAGGAAAAACTCTTGCGAATCTGAGTTGAATGGTTGTTTCTGGGATTTTTTTAATAGATATTTCACAATTTGAGGCAGTGTTTGGGCAGGTTCTTGATCCATTTTGTAATCCAAGCCTTTTTATGCGCTGGTTTGAAATACGAAAGGTTGAACTATAATCTCCTTCTTAGGGCTGTTTTCTAGGAACTGTGTATGAGGGCCCAGCAAAGCCTTGTGGTAAGCACCACAAGGCTTGAACAGTACACAGCTTGAACAGTACACATCATATTGGGTCCGAACCAGATCTAAACTTCGAATATATTTATATCCGAGTTCCGGTCTTCGGAATTTTTTGAAATTCGAAACTCAAATAATAAAAAACAGGGTTTCGAAGAAAATTCAAAAAAAAATCAACTGATCGAACGAAGTTTTGAATAAAATTCGAAAACTCGCCTAATCAATAAACAGGGCTCTGAATAGATTTTTATTCGAATGTTTTATTTGATGTTTATTCCAATGAGATGCGTATTCAAATTATTTGAGTTTGTTGCAGAGCCAATGCTGAGTATCAAGCTTGCTTCGTCTGCATTTTTTCAGCAAAACTCGACAACGCATCTCTTTGCAGCCGTGATCACCTTTGAATGTATGGAGACCCGCATCCCTCCAAGTGAGGCTGCTGATTATAAATAAAAATTTACTTGATCGATTCTATCGATCTTTGGAGAACTTTGAGCTACGGGAGCTGGGAGTTGATACAAGGGGATAGTGAGGGTGTTGGTTATGAATACATAACAAACCTGGACATCGTAGTATTCAAGTTGTTGCTTTTTTGAATTGGATGTGATTTAAATGTCATTTCTGCTCAACTTGGCCTCAAAGCTATGTGTGCAAACTTAGAAGTAACTTCTTGAGCAATTACCGATCATGCTGAGAGACAGCGTGAGTCTGATTGTACAAAATGTTAGGAAAAATGTGCCAAATGATTTGGTTGCTAAAAACTCGTTTTTTTTTCGAAACAGCTTCCGGACTGTAGGTGCCGTAATGTAGCGCTTTCAAACTATATAGATTTACGGTACAAAACGAATCACACATTGTTTTTCATTGTTGTATCACGATAGAAAGCTGGAGCACGAAGTCTTCATAGCATCATCTGCTACTTCAGAAAATTCCCAAACTTTTAAGAAGTTTTGTGGCTTTGGAGCTTTTAGGCTCGATGATTTTAGTGCAAGCTGTTACATATTCATAGAGCGCTCATATGATATAACCAAATAAATCATTATTGAGACTACGGGAATGGTATGTTTATCGCACTTTTTGACTTAAAGTCTGCATTAAAGCAAAAAGCTCATCTGTGATTCAAAAATATTAATCTGGTGGCAACGTTTGCAGCTTGTTGGAAATAGTTTTGAATTTCCGCTTATGCTCGCATTGGAGCAAAACTCTTTTAAAATTTTCCAACCTAAAGTAATGAAAAGAGCCGAAATCTATTCTACAGTTATTTTA